TCAATTTTTATATAAATTAATAATAAAATAATATATTTATTACATCATTAATCTCTACTTTAAGGATACAATTTAAAAAAATTCTTATTTTATTACTTTAGAGGGAGACAACTAATAATATTTTATTATTACAAATATGAATTACTAACAAAAAATAATAATAATATTAAAAGACACATATTTTGATATTTTCTTTCAACTCCACAATTGTTTATTATTTATTTGACATAACATGAATAGTTGAAGAAAATTATCTGTAGAGAAAATTGATTATGTGAGTGTTTGACTTGAATTATAGATTGAAACCATGCAGAAATATGTCTTTATTTTTATGGATAATGACAAAGTGGACAATTTTAGGGAATGAAAATAGAGGACGATAGATGACAAGCTTAAAGTGAAGGACACAAAATAACCAATTTGAACTTGCCACTTAAATCGTTCTTTATTTTTGTCTCATAAAAATCGTTTCCTCTATCGTTATCCTATCTTTATATTAGAATTCCTAACTAAATTAGTCTTTGTTCTAACCTTGGAGAAATCCCTAAAGGATAAGTTGGTTTGCCTAAAGAGAATATTTTATATGATCAGACCCCGCGATGATGTTGGGTAAGAGCAAGCTTAGTACGACTTTTAGAACATGTTGGGTAAAATTTATAAAAGTTTTTATTTTTTTGTATTATTTATGAGTGATAAATTTAAATTTTTATTGAAAAAAATGTAAAAGTTATTTTTAAAAATAGAAGTGAGAAAAAAAATTTTTTATAAAAAATATAAATTCGAAATTTTTCAAAATTTACTATTTGAAATTTTTTTAAAATTAAAAAAAATTAAAAAGTATAAATTTTTTAAAAAAATTTTAAACTTACGAAATATAAATAATATTAAAAAATTAAAAATTTTACAAAATTCACTAAATATGCTCTTAGTAAAATAAATGATTTGATATAATAGAAAATTGACATTAATAGAATAGAATTGAATAGTCTTGAATGGTCAAAATAGGATGGAAACGTCATGACTATTTTGCTGCTTTGGAACGATCACCGGTCCAATTTGGTACTCCACTCCAGCTTATGGGCTATAAAGATTAGTGGGGGATTCCATTACAATCAAAGCATATCTACCATTTAGTTGAGTTTAGCCACCTATATCTACGCTTTCTCCCATTTTATTTTTTTTATATTAATTGTTTGGTATTTAAAAATTATATTAAATTATAATTAATTTGAAATTGAGTTCATAAAAAAAACTTTCTCAATATATATATATATTTTTTAAGTTTTGTTGCACAATAAGAGACAACTTCTTTTATCCCTTATTCCACTTCACTCGCATGTTTTACGATTTGAACTCAACATCTCTTACTTCCAACGGAAAGAAATAATTACCGAACTATTTAAATCGTTGATAATTTTCTTAATAGTTGTTTTTCTATTTATAAGATTTAAATTTAAAACTCTATTTAAAAAAAATCAAGTTTTTTTCACCAAAACCAATAAATTACTGATACACTAAAATAAAACTCATGGTAAATCATGGAGATAATTTAAGTAGAAGCTCTTAAAAAAGAGTGATAAATACTAAATGAGAGGGAAACCCTAAAAAAGAGAGGAAAACAAAAACCACCTCTATTTATCCATTCTATCGACCGAGCGAGGAGAGGCAACACCTAATGTAAGGAAGGAAAGGGAGTAGGAAAGAGCGAGGTTCAACAATATGAAAGAACAAGAGAAAGCGAGCAGCTTCTATCTCTGCTCTACAAAAACTTCAGTTAAACCATAGTCAAGACTCCAAAATTAAAAGAAAAGCAATCTAAATCTAAATGATCACTTTTTTTTTTCTTTTTCTTTTTTTTGAACAAGAGAAATATCAGCCAAGGGAAAATTTTTGGGTAGTTGGTCGGGAATCGATCACAAACACCAAGCCTCAAGGATTCATCATTAAATTCAAAAGGTTGGCTCAATCTAAACAATCACTTAGTTGTTTCAATTATTATGTTTTTTTATAATTTTAATAAGATAATTTCACATTTAAAAGTTTAAAACTCTTAATTAAAAATTTCAAGTATGACTTTTGAATTAGATAAAAAATTTTTTGAGAATACGATGATGTTATTTTATTTTATATAATCATAATCAAAAGTAATATATATATTTTAATAAGATACATTAATTAATTTTTTTTATTTTAGTTATATAATAAAAAATAATTATTTTTTATCTTTTATCTTACTTCACGCTTATATTATATTATGTAACTTAAATTTAGATTTTTTTATTTCAAACGAAAAAAAAAAACTATGGTGTTATTTAAGTTTTTAACATCACATCAATTAATTAAAATTACGAAAAAGAAATTACATCAATAATTTAATCACTTACTGGACGTGTTCTCTTCCTTTCGAAAATTATTTAGAAAAAGGAAAAATTGAAATTTGAAAAAAATGTAAAAGGAGGTGGCTGTGAAGCTACTTTCTCAACAACCTTTGTATAAACTCCACTTCTTTCCCTTCCTTCTCTGCAAAAGTATCTAATTCTAGGGTTCTCATCGGAATACTCTCAATATTTACGTGCTCAACCTCTTCAAACTTTTTGAATTCGGAGAATTTAAAAGGTTGTCGGAAACGACGGCCGGTGCCGGGATTTCTTCGAATTTCTGCTATTCGTCTCATCTGAAATCTTAAATACTAATCTTTAGTTTTACACAGGGGTTGTCGATCAGTTTTTCTTTCTGTTTCTTTTTTTGTCTGAATTTTTGAGTTTGGGAATCTGTCCGAGCAGTAATCTGAAACAATGTCGCTGAGGCCTAATGAGAGGGCTGAAGTGCGGAAGAACCGTTACAAGGTCGGAGTCGACGCCGACGAGGGGAGGAGGAGGAGAGAAGATAATATGGTGATGATTAGGAAGAACCGACGAGAGGAGAGCTTGCAGAAGAAGCGACGCGAGGGGCTTCAAGCTCAGCAATTACCTGCCAACCTTTACTCTTCTGCAGTCGAGAAGAAGGTTTGATTCTGATTTGATTACGGGTTCTGTAATTTGTTCAAACCTTTTGCAATCCATGTTTCTTTGGTCTGATGCACGACTTGATATGTGTTGCAATTCGAATTCTTCTAGTTTTCTTCAATCATTTGCATGATACTGGTAACCTAATTGGGCTATTGGATTGTTCATCTTATATCTTATATCGAGCTCTGCGATTGCAGTTGGAATATTTGCCATCCATGGTTGCTGGTGTCTGGACTGATGATAGTAGTTTGCAACTTGAGGCTACTACTCAGTTTAGGAAACTGCTTTCTATTGGTGGGAAATTAGTGCCATAATGATTTTCCTTAATTTGGACTTTCATCTATTCTGATGATAACTTCATTCAACCATCCTTTTTACTCAGAACGTTGCCCACCCATTGAGGAAGTTATACAAGCTGGGGTTGTACCCCGTTTTGTTGAGTTCCTCGTGCGAGAAGATTTCCCCCAGCTTCAGGTTAGATTTCACACAGCGTCACTTTTAAATATTGCTTCAGTTTTGATATATCTATCCAACATTGTTATTGATTTTAAACTCCACTAGTTCGAGGCAGCTTGGGCACTCACAAATATTGCTTCGGGGACATCTGAAAACACTAAGGTGGTAATTGACCATGGTGCCATTCCAATACTTGTGAAGCTACTTGGTTCTCCAAGTGAAGATGTTCGTGAGCAGGTATTGCTACAAAGATGTTCAACTGCTTTGTCTTTATCTTGTATAACTTTTGCCTTTTATTATTTGTTTGGATTTGTTAATTATTTTATCGAATCTTGATGATGTTACTTTTTATATTGAGGGTAGTTAAGTTTTACCCAAAAGAAGCTACGATGCTTTATCGCTGTGCTCATATTTATCTTCCCCATTTTGATGATGCAGGCTGTTTGGGCACTAGGAAATGTTGCTGGTGACTCTCCTAGATGTCGTGATCTTGTCCTTGGCCATGGAGCTTTGCCTTCTTTATTGGCGCTACTGAATGAGCATGCCAAACTTTCAATGCTAAGAAATGCTACCTGGACACTTTCCAACTTTTGTCGAGGCAAGCCACAACCTCCATTTGATCAGGTGGACCTTGCCCTCTCTTATGGTCCAAATATTGTGTTTGATATGAAGATTATATTTGTATATGTATATTTATCTTTAAATTTCTCCGTCTTCTGCCAGGTTATATCTGTTTATAATGAAAATAAAATACAAATGCGTATCATGATTAGGGTCATGGAATCGAAGTTCAAGTTTCACTAATATTTGACCATGGTTTGAGATTATTATTTGTAGTGTTATTGAGTATTTTTATGTTCACAGCCATTGGTTTTGTTGGATATATTATTTAGTTCTTTTATTGTTCAACTATCATGCAGGTTAAGCCTGCAATTCCAGCTCTGGCACGTCTTATTCATTCGAATGATGAAGAAGTCTTGACTGATACTTGTTGGGCTCTGTCGTATCTTTCTGATGGTACAAATGACAAAATTCAAGCAGTCATAGAAGCAGGTGTATGTCCAAGGCTTGTGGAGTTGTTGACGTGAGTTTGCTGCGATGTTC